AAGCACACAAACAGCCAAGGCCAACAAAAGGGACTGCCTCGTCCTTGCTACAGGCAGCTTACATGGCATACAGACAATGCTGGACTAAATAAACACCTGGCCAATTACTGATAGGCTCTTGACTACCAAAGGGTGATCATGGGATGTAAAGATACCAGGTGCCCTGGCATGAGATTGGGCAGGCCTAAGTGCTCAGAAGCCCAACACCTTGAGTTCTCACTGACTGACCACAGGGTGCCCAGCCACCAGCCTGGGCTGGCAGAGGCTCCTTCCTTGTTCAGCCACCCAGGGCACTCTCTTCCTCTAGGACGGAGAAGGGAATGACGGGAGAATCTCACCCACACTCCTCAAATCGCCAGTCCTCATTGCCCTCTCATTCTGCAGTTCTCTGACTTAGAGCATATTCTGCCTTCCAAAAGAGGAGAACCTACAGCTGCTCACAACATAGTGTGAGTTTCTTTAGCTCATCACTATTAATCCTCAAGCCGCACTGAAGCCAGGGAACAGAAGAGGAATGTCAGTGCTGTAGAGAAGACACCCAAGGGAACCAGGGGGGTTGGATAACCAGGAGACAGTCGTACCCCAGACCCAAGAGAACCACGCATGCAGGCGTGTGCTCTCGAGCACACACACACACACACACACACACACACACACACACACACACACACAGCCTCCGAGGGTAAGGGCTGATCTGGAGCTACTGTGTGTCCAAATGTTGGTTGCTTGTCACCTATGATTCTTATTGTCGTAGGGGCAGAGACTCAGGGTGACGTAGTGTGAACCTTGCCTCCCAAATTGTCCCTGACTGGATAATAAAAGTTGCTCTACACAGAGAAATCTTGTCTCAAAAAAAAAAAAAATGTTGCTAATAGCCTTTAGCTGAGCAGAGAGAGAAGGGAAGGCAGGACTTCCTGGGAGAGAGAAAGGAACTCTGGGAAGAGGACATTCCCCCCACCCCACCCCTGCTAGGAGACAGGAGAGCAGACAGGCATGACTATGGCCCTGAGAGGTTGCCGGATGGGGCTAGATGAACAGGTTAAATTACATGAGCTAGTTGAGAGTCTGTCCAACCCAAGCCTAAGCTTTGAAATATTATAAAGTTTTGGTGTAATGTTATGGATATAGGGCTGCCAAGGGTCCTTCAACAGCAGGACCCTTGAGAACACCCCCAAAGAGACCTCAAAGACAGTGATTTTACCCAAATCCCTCTGAAGACGCTGAGACTACAGGATCTACCTGCCTGCCTGAGTGACCTTGGTGGAATCACCAGCACCCTTTGACCTTCAGGTTCCTGTGTGGATCACATACTGAGAGTCCATACAGAGACTGAGCCTACAGGGGCTTTGGATAGCCAGAGGACAGTACCACAGGCTCAGGTGAAGCAAAGAAACCACAGCATCTGAGTTCCAAGTGTACCCCAAGATAAACCTCATTCTGTCAAATCAGAACGAAGGAGCTCCCGCTTGCCTGCAGCTTCTCATGTGTCCTTGGCCTGCCTGGGCCAGGAAAGAAAAACACAGACTCCAGACAGGAGCTGCAGAGAAAACAGGAAGTTCAGCCAGCCTGGGATGGACATCGTGCGCAAGCCGTATATGCTGTGATGTGAGAGGGACAAGAGACACCGATCCCTCAGGACACAGAACAGAAGAATGGCGCAGGCGCTTGGTGGGTGGGCCTCTGTGCTCTCCAGATTTGCTCAGCGGCTGCACAGGGAAGCACGGGGTCCCCTGTCAGTGAACCCTCACCCCAGCCCTGGCACTGAGGTTAGCAGTCATTCTGCCCAAACCTACAGGTGCAATGTGAGACCTGGGGCTTCTCACTCAGCAGTGAGAGGAGGTAGTGCAGAGAAGACAGTCTGAGCAGGCCTTGGGGACTCTGTTCCAGAAGGGACCCTGTGAGTACAGTGGGAAGAATGGCAGCGCTCTCCCTGCATGGCCAACAGACTCAAGCAGATCAAGAACAGTACTGACCTGAGGGTGAGGGTCAAGGGCCCCAACATCAGCAGCAGTACCCCCCACCACTGGTCTACGATAGAAGCTTTGGTTTCTTAAAAAAACTCAGTTATAGTATGTAAATAGGCTTTTGTTTTAATCCCAAGTGTGGGATTTTAGTTTGGGCTTTAGTTTGTCCACAGCTGATAACTGTCTCGGGGGTGGGGGGGGCGTGGTCTTTACCAGCTGGTAATGGCTGCCTTGTGCAGCACAGAGAGGGGTGTGGGCTAGGGCTCCGAGGGCTATAAATAGGAGACAGGAGAGGAAAGGGTGGCTTGAGGAAGTTTGGAGAGACACTCAGTGGCACAGCGTCTTTCTTGAAGAAGACGGCCTGCTGCATTTACTGTTGATGGAGACTGGTAAAGCCCCATAAGAACCCATCGACCCTAAAAAGCAGGGTGAAGTAATGGGTCTGCACCCAATCTGCACACTAACCTCCTCTCTCCTACCCAGGGTTGGGGGGTTGGAAGGGAGAGGCTTTAAGGAACCCTAAATAAAACAGAGTTTAAATCGAGCGCAAAACTGGTCCCTGAGCATCAAATGCCCCAGCTTGACCCACTCTGTGCCCACTCTGCCCCCGGCCTTTCTGACTTCAAATCCCTCAGTGCCCTCTTGCATGACATCACTCTATCCCCACAGGATAAAGTGGTCATGACTCTCCTATCCACTAAGGCCTGTCACCCTAGGCTCTTTCCCCACCTGCCAAGAACCCCTTCCCCAAGTCCTCTAGCTAATACTAACACAGCCCAATGCTCAGGAGGACAGAAAAAAAATGTTCCACTTGCTTACTCATTCCATCCTCCCATAGGGGAAACCCCAAACTTTCTTCACACATCTTTTAGCCTCTCAGAATGGCAGCCACTAGACACTTTCCTTTCTTTTTCTTTCCCTTCCTTCCTTCCTTCCTCCCTCCCTTCCTTCCTTCCTTCCTTCCTTCCTTCCTTCCTTCCTTCCTTCCTTCCTTCCTTCTCTCTCTTTCTCTTTTATCCAGCTTCTTTTTTTTTTTTTCTTCCCATGACAGGGTTTCTCTGTCCAGCTCTGGCTGTCCTGGAACTCACTCCGTAGACCAGGCTGGCCTCAAACTCACAGAGATCCTCCTGCCTCTGCCTCCTGAGTGCTGGGGCTAAAGGTGTGCGTCAGAACTGCCCAACCACTTTTTTATTTTTTCATGACAATCAAGACCAGCAGTGTCTTCTTCACTGCCTGCTATTACAGACTCAGCTCAGAGACATCAGAAGGGGTTCCCAGTGCAGTCCAGCCTCCAGTGCTCTCCAGGAGCCACGTGGAGGGGGGCCTCCTGCAGCTGTGCTGAGGCCCATTCCCTCAGCAGGAACCATGCACCAGGCCTCCTCTGGAATCAAGGAAGCTCAGAAAGCAAAAACACTGTGGAAGACACATACACATCCCCACTATTAACAAAAGAAGAGGATGTCAAATCGCCCATCTGTTCTGCAACCCAAGGAACCAAGGCAATTCCCCTAACTTAACAGCCCCGACAACTGGCAAGGACCCAGAATCATAAATTCAAAAACTATCACAGCCCCTCCCTCCAGTCACATGTGGCTTCTGCGCAGACAGAGGAGAAAATGGTCTGTGCTGTAACTTGGCATCACCTGGCTGGATCTTTCACATGCTTTTCGTCATTTTTTTTCCTGACAGGTCTCACTATGTTTCCTCAGCTGGCTGGAACTATAGACCAGGCTAGTCTATTCCACCAACATCTGCCTGCCTCCTGAGCGCTGGGCTTAGAGACGTATGCCACCACACCCAGCTACCTGGGCCGGATCTTTGAGGGAAGGAGTGTATACCAAATAAGAGGAGAAGGTAAGGGGACAGGAGGCCTGGACTCCTCCTTGGCCACTTGAGCACAAGCTCACTGCAGGGTCTTACCTTCTGCCTCCATCTCTTAAGGCAGCCATGGTCCTGTAGTCTCTTCCCAGGACCTTGGGGAGACTGGAGAGTAGACAGGAAGAGCTCTAGGCTAAGGGAATGGACAAGCATCTGGAAGCAGCCACCTTAGAATCACCAGGAGCGGGAGAGTGAGAGAGGAAACTCTGGGAATATATTCATCAGGGCACACTGAACTGTTACAGAACAAAGGAGGGGGTGGCACGGTGGCAGCAAGGAGCTCTGGATCCTGCAGCCATTGGCTGCAGTGTGCCCGAGGAACACAAGGTTGACAGACCAGCTGTGAGACAAGGGAAGGTGCTGGGACGGGTGCCGGCTCACTGTGATCACTCATCCCCACTACCTTGCTTTGATGGCTTGGGTGTGGAGTTGGGAAAAGATGCAGAGGCCCAGCTAGCCACCCCCCCAGGCCACAAGCCCTGCTGCCACACAGCACAGCCTACCGACCATGCTCCGAGAGGCCACACAGACCTCACCACCCCAGTCTCCTGGCCCTCCTGCCCCAGTTCCTCCTACCACCCACCCTCTCACGAGGATTCCCTTGAATGTGAGGGGTCTCAGGGTCAGCAGCTAGGCATGCTGGACAGCTAGGGGACAGCACCACAGCCTGGTTCCTTCCTCCTGCTTCCTGCCTGCCATCCACTGCCAGGTAGCAGACACCACCAGCTGTTAGCAGCCCACCGGTCTCACAATCTGCCCATGCTGTCCCCTCTGCTCACCCACTCTGCCCAGCGACAATGATGGAGGGCACTGTCTAAGCCATGAAGTGGGAGAGACGTGGTGGAGAACTAGGGTTAAACCTGGCAAATGATCACCTTCCAGCCCCCACCCACACGGATCACACAGCTTTGGAGCCCAAGCTGCCCTTGAACTCGCCTCGCCTTGGCCTCCTGAGCACTGACTGACAAGCACTGCAGTCCCACACCCAGTTCTTGCTGCCGAGAACACCAGCAATACACATGTACACCACCCTCCCGTTCACAGGGTGGGCAGACAAGGGCACAAAATCACAAGAAATCAGAATCTTCCCATCAACGCACCCTCGCGTGTCCCCACCGGCCACCCACAGCGACAAGTGAGGAGAAGGAGTAGACCAACCTGAGAATTCACCCGGAGCAGTGATGAGGGAGTTGGTGGCCTCGGTTTCAGTGTAAGACAATGTGGAATCAGACAGATCTGTTCGAGGGAGAAAAAGACAGAGAACTCAGCTGGACGAGAGGCGCCTGTGTGCACCAAGGGCAGATGTCACTGGTGACCACTTATCACTGCTCCTGCCGCCCACGCTGACCTTGTTTCCAGTGCCTGGCCAAAAATGGCTTTGAACTCCTGATCCTCTGGCTCTCTCCTCCTAAATGCTGAGACTGCAGGCCTGAGCCACCACCCCGGGACCGGAACCCCGGACTTCATGTATGTCAGGCAAGCACTCTAGCAACAGAGCTATTCCCTCAGCCCCTCACAAGCTTCTGTTGTCACTCTGGGACCCAGTCTCAGGATCACTCCAGACCAAGCCAACCATCTAATCCCAGAACTCTTCTGGAAAACACAAAGCGCTGTGACCCTGACCGGGGAAAAGTCTCGAGGCCCTGACCACAGAAATAGTCCACATTCAGGGGACTGAGCAAGCACCAACTTGAAGCCTGTTTGGGCAAGGTTAAATTAAGTCCCTGAACAATTCATAGCTGCTAAACTTAATCACAACCATTAAAATTCTTGAAGTTGTTCGTTCTTGCTTCCTTCCTTCTTCCCTTCCTTTCTTCCTCCCGGAGCTGGGGAAGCCTAGGCCAGCCACTTCTGTTCCCACACGCCTCTCATTAAGGCCCAAGTGTTTGCTCACAGATTAACTTTTGCCGGCTCTCTCACCTCTCCCATTCCCCAACATGCAAACGGCCTGTGGAGCTTGAGCTGGGTTCTGCATTCATGCTTGTGTTTTAAAAGCAGGCTTAATTAGGCACTTCATATGGCATGCATCATCGGCCATTCCCTGCCTGCAGTGTGCAGGGATGGAAGAGAACTTTCTGTGCCCCGAGAGTTTCATAAACTGATGCTCCGGGGAACTTGGGAGTTTTCCCCCCTCAGGTCTGAGCCTCTGCTGCCATCAGTCTGTGGTTGTCCCCAGTAAAGGACAAGCCTGTCCAGGAGTTGAGAGGCACAGGTCAGGAAGCCAGCAACCTCTTCATCTTCAGCTTACCCAGCACAGGCCGGGTCTGGCTGGGCTGACTGCAGACAGCCAGCAGCCACCAGTGGCTGGGAATTCCTGGGACAATTCCTTCAGCTTAGGCTCTAGTTACCTAGGATTCCATTTCACCTTGCAGAAACTTTTTCCATTTACCATGGCATAAAATCGGAAAAGATGAAACACTAACAAAGTTGGCTTTTTTTTTTTTTTTCCCACTTGAGAGATGCTGAGTTTTATTTTGGTTCCTGTTCTCATGTGCTCAGAGAGGATAAGAAGTAAATTGATTACATATATGTAAAATACTATATATGTGCATATATATAGTAAAAAAGAGAAACAATGAAAGGTAAAAAAAATCTGTTTTTTTAAATATTGTACTGTATCTTAAGGCACAAAAATACTATCTGCTGGTAACAATATTGAAAATAAAGACACAAGAAAATCATCAAAATCTGGATGGTGTCGGTGCACACTTTTTGTCCCACCACTTGGGAGGCAGAGTCAGACTGATCCCTCTGAGCTGGAGGACAGCCTGGTCTACAGAGCGAGTTCCAGGACAGCCATGGCTATACAAGAAACCGTGTCTCAAAAAACAAAAACAAACTATCAAAACAAACAAACAAGCTGGACCTGGTGGCACACACCTGTAATCCCAGCACTCGGGAGCACTCGGGAGGCAGAGGCAGGTGGATCTCTGTGAGTCTGAGGCCAGCCTGCTCTACAGAGGGAATCCAGGTCAGCCAGGGCTCTATTACACAGAGAAATCCTATCTCAAAAAACCAAAAACAACCAACCAACCAAACAAACAAAAACCTTCAATGCTAAAGTGGAGGATTCAGAATTTTGCACCATATGTATGTGTGTTCGCATGTTTGTGTGTATGAGGGCACACACACTGTGTGTGTGCGCATCAGAGCTCAACTTTGGATGTCACTTCTCACCTTGCCTTTTGCCGCAGGGTCTCTCACTGGCCTAGAGTTCACTGAGTAGGCGAGGCTGGCTAGCCAGTGAGTCCCAGGGAAACCTCCTGTCTCAGCCTTTGCAGTATGCACAACTGTACCTGGGGACTGAACTCATGTCCCGGCAGTTTGCTGATGGAGCCATCTTCCTCACCTTACATTTGCAGTTAATACCTAATGTCCCCAGTGCAGAACGCCTGGAGTCTCGCTGAGGCTGGGCGGGAGAGCCACTGTGAGGGAGACGGCCTAGGCCTGGAAGCTGGTGCACCAGCTCTAGCTTTCTTTTGAAAAGTCGATGAAATGTGGTGTTCTTTAAAATGTCGGATATTGCTAGGACTGAGCGATAGCTTCTGCCACTCATGTAAAGGAGCAGCAGCGGGTCACAGGTTGGGTCCTTAAATTTTCGCTGGCATTATTTTTAATTATGTGTAAGCATGTGTCTCCATGGAGTTATAGAAACACTGGAGCTGGCGTTACAAACAGGTCTGAGTTGGCTGACAGACACATGGGTATCCAACTGCTACCGCTATACAGGTAGCGCCTGTATAGTACCGTCCAGAAAGAGCAGGAAGGGCAAGTAGCTTCTACCTTCTGAAGCTCCTGAGTAGCCTGTCGTGCCCTTGCCAAGCCCACAGAGCTGGACCCTCCACGGAGGGTCAAAGGCAGCCTTCCTGTGGTGGCTGCTGTAGAAAGAGATCTCTCCCAGCCTCTCTCATCACCTGAAGCCACGGAGAGATCCAGAATGAGACACCTGTCTCACCTGCTCGGCTCTGCACCGTACCAAGGAGCAGCGTGGACAGGCTGGAGGAGCATGGCTGTCCCGACACCTACATTTTGAGTGTCCTTGAAACTCTATTTTTTCCACACCATTTACAAAAAATAAAAATAGAGCAAGCCACAGTGTTACATGTCTGTCATTCCAGCACGTAGGAAGCTGAGGCAGGAGGATGGAGGGCTTAAAGGGAAGCCAGCCTAGACTATAGGAGGAGACCCTGTCTCAGTCATCAGTCAAATAAGTAAAAGCTATTCTTAGCTCTTATGCCAAGACGAAGTTCTGTGAGCCTCAGCAAGAGTCATGTCTGCTTTCTGAGACTGAGCTGGCCTACCTCTGAAGTAATGGGACATCTGTAAGCTTTCCCCCCAACCTTGGGTTTGGGGGTTTTGTTTTGTGTTGTGTTTGTTTTTTGAGACAGTGTTTCTCTGTGTAGCCTTGGCTGTCCTGGACCCACTTTGTAGGCCAGGCTAGCCTTGAACTCACAGCAATCTGCCTGCCTCTGCCTCGCTGAGTGCTGTTATTACAGGCATCACTGCTCTAAATGCACAGACGAGAGAGCTCAGGGCCCACAGTATCTCTGCTTTTAAGTAGTTAGTTAGTTGTGTATAACTGTGTGCACCTGAGTGTGTGTATCACACGTGTGCAAGTGCCCTCAGAGGCCAGAAGAGGGCACCGGATTCCCTGGAGCTGGAGGTCCCGGCAATCGGGAACCACCTGGTGTAGGCGCTGGGAACTGAGCCTAGATCCTCTGCATATGCAGCAAGTGTTCCCAGCCCACGGTCCATCTCCTCAGCCCCTCGTCCGCTTTTAAGAATGTATGTGTGCACCCTAAAACATGAGTTGACACTTAGCACCCAGAAAAGAAGCCTGCCACTGCGCACAGCTCTCCACTAACCTCCCTCCGACGACGCAGCTAACCTCTGTCCACCTGTCCAGGTGGGGCACAAGGGCAGATAAAGCTAGACAAAGACCCCATCACACTATCAGTTAACTCACTGGTGGGCGGCAACCCAAGGCTGGGGGAGGAAGAAAGGAAAAGAGACCCAGAAATCCCACCCCACCCCCAAAGAGCGTAAGTCAGAGCCCATTCATCTCCTCAGGCCCATGTTTAAAGGTCACAGAGAGGCTAACGAGGAGCCTGGAATCTGAAGAGGTAAATGGTCTCTCGGCAGCAGCCCGACCATGGGAGTGCTTGTAAAACTTCACCTGTTTGAAAGCCCCCGATTCAGCCCACCCCTCTGCGGAAGGGCACACTTACCCAGTGGCTTGTACTGGTCACGAGGAGACAGCCGAGAATAGGGGGGTGGCGGTGATTCTAGAAGACAGGACACAGCATGTCACACCTGGTGCTCCGTGTGCTTTTTAACTATCGGTTTCCTCAAATTATAACCTCTGACCCCAGGAAGTCCTCCCTGACTCCCACCACCTCTACTGCCCAAATCTATGGACACAGATAGCCTAGGGCTCTCAGTCCCATCTTGTGGCGCCTATGCTTTGTGAGCTCCGGCGAGGTCCCTCGCCTCTCTACGTCCATTTCCTCAACTATAAAACAGCGGTGATAATCACAGACCTCTTGGTTTTGCCAGAAGGGCAAAAGATAGTGAACGCAAAATGCTTAGCACAGCTCCTGGTCACACTCCTATAAACAGCACCTTTATTATCACTGCAACTAGAAAAACACCAATGCAGACACCAGATAATATGCAGGAGGCTCGGCTCTGTTTGCATTTGGGCTAACCTCAGCAACCAGTCTCTTAGTAAGCGCAGGCTTACAATACCTGGGATATACTTATGCTGAAATTTTATGTTGCTTGTGTGAAATGAAAACTTATTTGCTCAGCTCAACAACCCAAATGAAGAGTGCAGAAGGCACACACATGGAAATGTGGTTGGAGAGGGCTGGTGAGACAGCTTAGCATGGAAAGAAGCTTGCTGCCAAGATTAAAGACCTGAGTTTGATCCCCAGAACCCACATGGCGGAGGAGGCTGACAGACAAGTCATCCTCTGACCTTCACATGTGTTTCCTGCCACCTATGCACCCCCACTGCGTGGTAATAACAGATTTTGAATAATTATTTTAACCCACATTAGAACCACCATTCCTGGGTGTGGAGAGGACAGTGGCCCTGGAACCCTCCGCATTTTAGGCCAGTTACTTCCAATTTCTGGTGTCAGGCTCTCCTTTTATAAAGAAAGGCCAGGACTGGGTCCCAGCCTTCCGGCCCAAACTGACTCCTGGCTGTCCATGTTGCTTTCCTTTGCCTAAAATACTCCTCCTTCAGAAACATATACTTTGCCTCCAGAGGAATTTCTTAGGCTCTTGCTTTATGAGGAAGTAACAATTTGCTAAACTAAGTAACAATCTGGGTGAATGAAATGACCCTCCATTTTCTGTAAATGAAACTGAACCCCATCAGATCACAAGCTAAAGCAAACTCGGCAGTAATAAAGGGGTAATAACTGTTATCAGGAGGGTATCAGGAATGACACAGGGGTAATGAGTGTTTTCAAAATTATAATAAGGCACCATTAGTTACAGCAGCATTAGTTATGTATGTTCCACGCACCCAAAGGAGGCTTCCCTCTCCTGCCAATCCCAGCCTCTGCAGACAGAAGCCGCTTCCTCAATGTCAAGGCTCTGCGTCTAGGGCAAGGACTCACTGTGGCCAGGGGTCAGAAAGGATAGGTCAAATAGGGCAAAGCCACTAAAGAGACCGGAATATTCACTGTGTGCCAGGCACTTCCACTTCATGCACTGTCTCTATTTGTTTTGTTGTTTTTTGTTTTTTTGAGACAGGGTTTCTTTGTGTAGTCTTGGTTGTCCCAGAAATTGCTCTGTAGACCAGGTTGGCCTTGAACTCTGCCTCTACCTACAAGTGCTGGGATTGCCTGGCTTCCGTATTTGTTTTTTTAATGATTTATTCTTTTTTGTTTTTTTTGTTTTTTTTCTCAAGACAGGGTTTCTCTGTGTATCCCTGGCTGTCCTGGACTTGCTTTGTAGACCAGGCTGGCCTCGTACTTACAGTGATCCGCCCGCTTCTGGTGCTGGGATCAAAGGTGTGCGCCACCATACCCGGCCGATTTATTTATTCATATTTTATGTGCCTTGGTGTTTTGCCTGCATGTATGTCTGTGTGAGGGTGTCATATCTGCTGGAACTGGAGTTACAGACAGTTGGGAGCTGTCATGTAAGTACTGGGAATTGAACTCGGGGCCTCTGGGAGAGCAGCCAGTGCTCTTAACCATTGTTGTATCTGATTCTTATAGACCTTGAGTACAGGAGTACTCGATGGTTAATCACACTCATCAGACACCGGTTTCAACTTAATCTTGTCTCAAAGATTAAAAAGAAGTATGTAAGATGGTATCGACATTCCTCATTTTGAATATGAGGAAACTGCCTGGCTCCTGCCACCCAAGATAATCACGGCAGAGCTGGTATTTTCACCCAGCTCTGACTTGAGTTTCACTGTTCCAAGAGACAGAGAAGCAAAGGCCCTCACTGCACCCAGTGCTTTCAGGCAAAGACAAGAGTGGGTGGAAGGATCAAGCAAAGAGGACCTACCGGTGACCTCAGACAGGACACAGGAAGATTATGCTCTTTCAGTAAGAGCTACTTTACTTGGTTCATCCTCAGCCCAGAGTCCGGACCTGAGAGAGGTCCAGCTGCCCGGCATGTGAAGGCCTGGGCTCTCAGGGACAAAGGACTGAGCCTGGGTTCCCACGGCAGAGAGGACACTGAGGCCTGCTGAGTGGAAGGGACCCCCAGAAACTGGCTGTGGAGCCAGAAACAGAGCTGTCTGGTGTGCACACTTTTACAACCCCTGAAAACCATGGCCTGGCTAGACGTCTGCCCCCACACCCATCTCCAGCAACAGAGGTGGTAGCTGGAGAACAAGCACCTGTCGACACCCTAGCCTTCTCCAGCCAGCCCCTCTTTCTCTCAGTTTTCTGAAACAGTCGTCCTTATAGCCTAGGCTGGCCCTAAATTCAATATACAACTAAGAACAACCTCAAACTACTGAGCCTCCTGTCTCCACTTCCTGATCATTACAGGCTTACCCCTGGCTACCCCCGGCATCTCTTGCAGGGACTTTACCTGAAAGCAGAAAAGTTCGAGGGAAGAAAGTGCTCATCAGTTTCCCCTTCGGATGCACCCACTACCATGGACACACCTACCCTCGTCCATGAGACAGAGAGAAACTGACAAGCCAGGATTCAGGCACACAGCCAGGGAAAGACAGCTAAGCTTCTGGGAGGAACTTCACCTAACCACAGGTCTCCTGGAAAGAACATGAGGCCACAGTCAGCAGCCTAGAATACAGAGCTCCAGCACATCAGAGACCAAAGGGCCTGGGCTTCTTCACCAAATTCAACTTTTTTATTTAATTTTTTTTTAAAATTTTGGCTCTGAAACAATGTCCCAATGCATAGCTCAAGCTATCCTCAAAAGGATCCTTCCCGCCTCTGCCTCCTAAACACTGGGATTACAGGCACACACCACCACCAAGGGCTCCAAACTCCTTTTTGACAGAGCACCTGGCATCCCTCTAGTGAAGGACTCGCCCAAGGCCATGCTTGAAGGCAGCTGCATAAATTATTAACATGTTGCTGTTGGAGACCAAGACCAGGTAATCCTTCTCTTAAAAAAAAAAAAAAAAAAAAAAGAGTGGTGGTGGCACACTCCTTTAATCCCAGTACTAGCGGAGGCAGAGGCAAGCAGATCTCTGAGTTCCAGGCCAGCCTGGTCTGAGTTCCAGGCCAGAGTGAGTTCCAGGACAGCTAGGGCTACACAGAGAAATGCTGACTCAAGAAACCACACACACACACACACACACACACACACACACACACAAGGTCACAAGACTCATCCTCTTAAAGTATACAATTTAGTGGTCTGGGGTACATTCAAAGACTTGTGACCATCGCCAATGATCTAATTATAGGACATTTTCATGGCAAGAAGAAACTCTATCCCCATTACAGTCACTTCCTATATTCCAACCCAAACCCCAGGCAACCACTAATCTACTTTTTGTCTCTATGGATTTGCCTATTTTGAAAGTTTCACGTACATGAAATCACATAGGCCTTTTGTGTCTGTTTCTTTCACTCAATACAATGTTCTCCAGGTTCATCCATGCCTCAGCATGCGTGAGCACTTCACCCTTTTTTACGGCTGGCTGATATTCCATTGTGTGGCTACATCAGGCTTTGTTTATCCATTCATCAGCTAATGGACATTTGGGCTGGTTCCACATTTTGCTGTTATGAATGATGTGCTGTGAACAATACCAGTAATTCTACCCGTCCTTCCCACTCCCCTCCCACACAGCCTCCAGGATTTAGGAGGATGGGGCCACGGGACACTCAGCTCAGGCTGGCCAGGTGAGCTCTCCACCAGGTGAGACACAGACCCAGGAGACAATCTGCAGTTGGCCCCCAGCTCTGTCTCCTGTTTAGAAGATGTCCTACTTCGTGCTAAGAGTTATATAATTTACGTGTATATTGTAAACTCCAAACTCTAACAGAACTCTCCCAGTCTCTGCAGGTTCCTCCGAGAGAACTCGGCTTGGTCAAGAGAAAAAGAGGAAGACACCAGAAACCCCAGGCCCCTCAGACCTCCAGCCGGAGGCATGGACTGGAGGAATTTCCCCTAACTTCCTCCAGAAGCTGAGTAGTCAGCCAGGAGACCAGAGCTTCAGGAGTGAGTCCAGGCCCTGACCCAGCCCAGCTACCCTCTGGTCAGCCCTCAGGGCCTATTTAGCCTTCTGGGATCTAGACCTACATCTGAGGCCAGAAGAAAGTTCACAGCCTCTCTCTGAGCCTGGCAGGAGTTTCCATTTGACATCACCCATCTTTGCAGGGCAACTCAGACTTTTCTCTCTCCGGTTGGGGGGAGGAGGAGTGTGACAGCCAGGCAGGCCCAGAGGGGTCCTCCTGGGTGCCTGTTTCTTCTTCCCTCAAAGCCTAAGGGCTCCAACCCCAAGCCGAGGATCGGAGGACAGAAAAGGAGCTCCTGGCTCTTTAAGGCCGAAGGAGCCTGACAGCCCAGATTCCCCCAGCAGCCAGATAAACAGCGCAGCCGGCTGGCGCCAGCAAGAGGCAAACTGGGCATTATCACGGCTTCCTCACCTCCAAGAGAGGAGCAGGGAGCAGACAGGCAGGCCGAGGGGCCACGAGGGGGCGGGGCGGGGCCGGGAAGCCGAACTTGAAATTGATCTCATTTCAAAGGGATAATGCCAGGCCAAATAAAAGGAAAAACTTTCTAGCCCATTCTAATTCCTCCAGGCCTGGCCTGGGAACCCTGTGTTTTCCTAGGCAGCCTCCTCCAGCCCTTTAGAAGTTCTCTCTCTTTCCCGGGCACAATTTGGATAATAGTAATTTACTGAATATAATTACAGAAAAAAAAAAAAAAGTAGGGAAGCAAAGAGCAGGAGATTCATTCCAGAGTTAATGGTTACTTGCAGGAGAAAGGAACTCTATAAACAGGTCAGAGCTGTGATTAAAGCATTTCTGCACATTTCCGTCCACATGCGCACCCACCAAGCCCGGAGAAGAAAAGGTGACTCCCAGGGCCTCCAGACTGTGGCATCTACTGAGCCTGGAATTCAGGGTACCAGTTTTGGAATCACCTCAGTCGTTCAGGCCAACCCAGAACTTTACAGATGGGAGGGGGCCAGAGCCGTCAGCTTGCCAGGCTCAGAACACGGCACCACAACTTCCCACATGTCTGCACACTGGGAATCCTGGAGGGTGGGGGCTGGGCATAGATGGCCGGTGCTGGGCGTTCCCGTGCGCTCTACTCTAGTTGTATGCCCGATCAGTCTGTCTGTCTGCCTGTCTGCCTGTCTGCCTGCCCCATGCCCCAGCCCTCTTCCCTGGGCTGGAGAGTTGGGAGGAGCAGTCTCCTTATCAGGACTCGCTCGCTCGCTCGGCTGAACCCCAGCTATGTGCCTGCCCATTCCGAGGAGCCAGGCTGTCGGCCAGCCCCGGGGGCGGGGTGGGCAGCAAAGGGCTTCCCCAGTCCCCAGTCCCAGGCAAGACAAGAGGGTCAGCCAGGCATAGTGGAAACTCTTGCTTCTTTCCCTACAGCAACAGTCCTCAAAGATGCCCCCAGTTGCCTGACTAGAGCCCTCTCAGGTTTGTGGCTAGCAGAGGCAGAGAACAGATTCATACTGCATGCCCCCTTCTGACAGAGGAAGCGGGAATTACGTTCCAATACTCAGCTCAGTTGAAAATGTTTTGGGACCCTCCCACACACACACAGGCTTCCAAAGCCACTAAGCCTAGGTCCAGATTCTATAGTTCAGCAGGGTCCCTCAACTGCTCCCTGGTCCAAGAGGGCCAAGGCTGCAGGCAAAGCGTAGAAACTGAGTGGCTCCTCAAGCCTCCGGCTTCTCACCCTCCTTTTCCGGTCCACCAACCTGAGCAAGGCCTCTCTACGTCCAACCCCACCTCTGAGGCACTCCCAAAGGTGATCCAGTTACAAGCCCACCCATTGCCCTCCTGGTGGCTCAGACCACTGACCTAGCCCCACCCCTCACCTCCCTCCCCATGTCTTCCCACCTCCCAGGAAGATTTCTTGACAGCACCAATCCTCCTCTTTTCTCTCCCCACCACACACACACACACAGACACACACATGCACAATCTGATACAGAGTAATGCTAAACAAACTTGTTAGCACTATGTCTTGGTGAAAAAAAATTCACTCGGGCCTCATGGAAGAGTGTAGTGGGTCTCCATCATCCATCTCCCACTAGAAAAAAATTATGAGTGGAAGCAATACAACCACAAAAAGAATCCTCCCCAGAGACAGAGATAGCAGACAGTTTCTCCAGGGGAAGCTGGCAGTTAGCCTCCAGGCAAAGAAAGCCCAGTGTGGGCACAGGCCAGCGACTACCCTGAGCCTGGAGGGACCAAGAGGGAAGCACATCGGGAACCATAATAATGCGAGGGAAACTTTCTTTCTCTTCACACCGCTAGGCCCTCATCTGTACAGAGGGAAGAAGTCAAGCTGAGAAAGGAGAGCTGAGAGCTGACCAGACAGGTAGCCTGTGCTTACCTGTTCCATTCTTTCCTGCAAAGCCCCCAGTGCCTCGAATAATGTATTCACCTACACCATAGTGTGTGTGTGTGTGTGTGTGTGTGTGTGTGTACACGCTCTGGCCTGTCAGGGGCCTTCATCTGTCCTCACCTCTACATCACCTGAGCCGGCCTAGGTAAGCAAGGCTGAGGTAGGGTGTGTGCAAAAGATCCCAGGAGAACAAAGGGGCCAGTTCTCGGGGTAACAAAAGAGCTAGCAGCCTGTGACGCCAAGATGCCTCAGGTCCCTCAGAGGTAAACTGAAGGCCAGAATGAAGAGCCTCGATGGTGGAGGAGCCCGGCATTCCACCCCAAAGGATGCTGGAAACAGGAGGGACTGCTCTGCAGAATCAGGGCTCAAACCACAGAAAGGAACAAGTGGAACATTTTGCAAACTCTTGCCTACAGATAGTTTCACAGCCATAGCTACCCGGGTGCAGAAGGGTACAGCAGGGGTGAAGGGATGTGCATGCAAATGCTAGAAGCTGGGTACCAACTGAGGTGAATCTCCAAAGGAGAGGTGGCACCCACTCCCCTGGCCTCTCCACGGCTTGCTATCCCACAAAGCTGCAACCTACTTTAAGTCTCGGAGGCTGCACACTGAAAGCCGGGACGTGCCCCCTTCGAAATCCGGTGGGGCCACAAAATGAAGCTGCAGACACCTCCTCCCTCAGCTTCACCTCAGCCCTCCCTGCAGACCCTCGGTGCTGAGGAGAGGTGGCCACAGGAGGGGACCAGAAGGTCGGGGCGGAGGTCGAGGCGACCCCGCGCGCGCTCACCTGGCCCGCAGAGCCGGCTGAAGTGGTAGGGGTTGCAGCACACCGTGGGTCCGTCGGCGGCGGCGGCGAAGCTGTGGCAGCCGCACAGGGGCTTGAGCTCCACCGCGTGCTGCAGGTCTGGCCAGCGGAAGAGGCGGCCGAGCAGCAGCTGCGGCGGCGCGGGCTGGCCGCCGAGGCGGAGGTCGGCGCGCGGCACCAGCACGCAGCCGCCCGGCACGCCGCCGCGGGACTCCACCGCCTCCAGCAGCGTGTCGAGCGACCGCTCCTTGAGCCGCTTGAGCAGCGAGTACGTGACCGTCTTGAGCTCCTGCTCCAGGAGCAGCAGCCGAGAGCGGGCTTCGCGACCCCGGGGCCCGCCGCCCTCCTCGGGCTCCGGGGACCGCCGCGCTGGGGGCTCGCCGGGGTCCCGCGGCGCGCCCGCGGCGTCCCGCTCGGAGAAGAGGCAGCAGGTCACCGTCTCGCAGTCGCTCTCGGGCAGCCGGCCCGGGCCTCCTTCCGCCCCCGCACCCAGTGGAGGACCCCCGGCTCCGGCCCCCGGCTCCGGCCTCGGGGGGCCGCCCGCGCGCCGCCGCCGGCCCGCGCTCGGGGCGCCTCGCGGTCCCACCGCGTCCCGGGGCCGCCGCGGGACTACCGAGCGGACCTCGGAGCGGCCGCAGCCTCCGCCCTCTCGTGCCCGCGGGGCAGGCTCAGCTCGGGTGCCCAGGCTCCCATCCTCGTCGCCACCGCCGCCTCCGCCGCCGCCTTCCTCCCGGTCGGGAACCACACGACTTCGCCAAAGTCGCCGCACCAGCCCCGAGCGTTTAGACCTGAACATACGATATCCTTTGGCGCCTGGGGTGGAGGGAGGGGAGGCGGTCTCCGGTTACCGGGGGTCCGTTCCCTCAGCGAGGCGCCGGCTGCGCGGGCCGCAGCCCCACATGAAGCTCCGCCGCGGGGCGCCGTGCAGAGCGCGCACAGCCTGTCGTCGAAGGGACACCGCAGGGCTGCAACATGGGGGAGCTCGCGCCGGGCCGGGCCGGGCACACGCGCGCGCCGGGTCGGGGTCCGCGCGGGACCGGCGGGCTACATGGACCGCGGTGGGCCGAGGCTGCTCAGCTCCAGCGGCTCGGGGGCCTGAGGGGGGCCGCGGGCGACGCGAGGCCAGCGGCACCCTGCATGGGCCGGCGAGCCTTCAAAAGTTGCGCGGCTGGTACACGAGCACAAAGCGCCTGCGTCGTACCCCCAAAGGCGTCCGCACCGCTCTGCCTTCAAAAGTCAAGCGCTAACGCTACATGGGCTCTCTCTGCAGGATCCGAAACTCGGGCTTGCGGATAGCTCCCAGATCCCTGCAATAAAATACAAAATAAAAATAAAAGCAAAGCAAGGAAAAGATCCCCAAACAAAACCCAAAATGCTTGGATTTGCACGCACGAAGAGCAAGTCCGTCTCAGGTCCCGGGAGCTCGGTGCATTTGGGGCAGGTCTCTCCTGAACGCGGGTGTCAACACATGAGAGTGGAAGCCGAAAAAAAAAAAAAATCCCAAAGAGCTGCTGGGAATCCTTAATTAAAAATGCAGTCCACCGAGGCAGAGGTCGCAGCCCGCCCCACGCTGCGCTGGGTCGCTCCGGGCGCCGCGGCCGCCGAGGTCGCCCCCTCCCCCCTCCACCGAAGTGCCTCCCGGTGGCCCCGCGGTCCCCGCGAGGTTTGGCTAGGCAGCGCCCGGCGGCTCTTTCTCTGGGCTCGGCTCCCTCGCTCGCTCCCCCGATCGGCGCTCTCTCTCTTTTTTGTTCTCCTCAAACGCACACTGAGGGCCCCCGGAGGAGCGCCGCGGAGTCATTGGCTGCCTCCCATCATATGCCAGTCTAGACACTTTGGCGGCTCCGCGGCGCTGATTGTTGCGCAAACAAGGTTTCAAGTTTCTTAACTCTTAAAGGAGAACACGTCCCATGGCTGAGCCCGAGGCTCCGAGGGGGCTGGTTTCTGGGGCGGGCCGAACCCGAACCCCCGCCCCTCGCCCGCCCCGGCACCCCCGCCCCGAGGCTGACAGAGCCTGAGACTCACTCTCTAGCTCACGTCGCGCCTTGGGCACGGATACGAGCGACCATGCACACGCGCGAACAAACACACACCCTGCTACCCAGGCTCTGCTTGGTGAACCCACCGCGACCAGGACTCCAAGGCGGCCTTCGGCCTCTCTCTGGCTTGTGCACAAACTTGCAAACTCTCATTGCACTCAGAGTCGCTCCAAACCCCCGGCCTCAGCGCGGGCTAATAAAAATGGGCGTGCGTGCGCGCCTTCCTGCCCCGCGTCTCCGAGGCGGCCGAGAAGTTGGGGTAGCGGGACCTTCCGTGATCTAACGACGCACCCCCTGCCCAGAAGCGGGGGTCGCTCTGCCTGGGCTACACCAGGGGGCGTGAGCTGCCTCGGTCAGGGGAGGTCCAGTGTAGCCCGAGCCGGGGAGTGGGGCAGAGCAGGAGTGCTCTCGGACGGCTCCTCTCGGCCGCCGCGGCTCTCCCGCCAGACTGTCTGACGTCCTGGGCCCCCTCAAGGCCAGGCGCGTCCTTTTCCTTTCGTGGATTTACTTACTGCCCCTTCGAGGGGTATGTGGATGGAGGGGCGCGCTCTCCCCGGCCGTGTTTCACTATGAAAACGGAGCAAACTGGGGCCAGATTAGGGGGCCCGGCACGGGAAGGGTTAAGGCCGCTCCTGCCCTGGAGCCGGCGCGGCGGGGTACCTCCTCGGGCGTGCTTGCTAGTCCGAGGGTGGCAAAAGTTCAAGCTTGTAAAGTCGGGATTGGTCCCGCTCAGAGAGGAAAAAAGGCTTGGTTCCCCCTCCCCCTCCCGGGCGTGGCGCCGATTGGCCCAGCAGCAGGGCCGGCTCCGCCCTCCCCTGGCGCGCCGCGGCCCCACCCCCGGCGCAGCGCCACGCCCCCTTCCGGGCAAGCGTGGGGCCCCGAGCTCAATGAAAGGAATTCCGCTACTCTCATTGGCCTGGGGCTGGACGCCGCTCCCCCGCGGGAGGCGGGGTGCGGAGGATGGGGCGCAGACCTGGGATCCCCACCACCAGCCCTAGGACACCCGTGCTCTGGGCTGCTGTCGTGAGGGCGACGTGCAAGCCTAGGGACTAGGTCTCCGTGTGCGCTGGGGGAAGGGCCGTGTGTGCAGCAAAGAGCCAGAACCCTTTCCTATGCCTTACCTGAGTCTGGTACCGATTGTCACACCCACCCCTTACTATTTTGGCCAAGGTGAAATAGGAGTAGTTGTCTTGGCCTCAGTTTCTCCTTTGAACACGCTGGGATGGGTGATGCCCGCCTCACAGAATGAAGATTCTGGGAATTAGTAAGTGTACACGTTGAGAATGGGCAAGCAGCACCCATGCAAACTTGTTTTCTAGCCTCTGTCTTGCCCGGGAAGAAGTTGATGATCCTAAAACACAAGGAGCCCTTGTGCACACCCATTAGCTGCAGCGCTTGGGAGGTGGAGAGAGGAGGATCAGGAGTTCAAGGCTATCCTGGGCTACACATTGAACTGGAAACCAGCCTAGGGCTGCATAAGACCCTGTCTCCAAAAGTTTCCCAAAATTAAAATAAAAAAAAAAACATACAAAGGGGAGCCAATTATGTTTTCTTTTATGAAGATAAAGACTGTTTCCTTGCCTCTGCATTTCAATAATAAGAGCAGACGCTTTGCTTTCTTTACCGTGATAGAAGAGATGTCAAGCCTAAATAGTGTGTATTCACGCAAGTCTCACACCCTAATCAGTTTTATTTTCTCTGTGTACAGATGAGGAAACTGAGGTAAAGAAACTTGCACATTTAATTTGCCATTGAAACCTATTGGGAGCGCTAAGACACCAAAACCAGAAAGTCCCACACCAGCTCTGCTCTGACCCCCAACAGCTAGAAGAGGTGAGTACCCTGTGTTTTCACAACATACATTCCAGGGGAGTGCTTTCCAAAATGTGATGTAGGTACTGCCTCTATGAGACCTACCTAGTCAGCATTTGGTAGAAGGAGGACACACTCCCCATTATAACTCCCTGGGGATGAGGGTGGCTGATAACTAGCATTATGTAGAATACTAAGGCACAAGGTTGTAGAGGAATTTTAATTCAGAACATGGCTACTCTGGGAAGAGATCATATCCAAGACCTTCTAGGTCCGTGTGATCTGACTGGAATACAGACACATTTTAATCCCAGGAAACAGATGCTAGCAGGTCTCTGAGCTCAAGGCTATCCTGGTGCAGAAAAAGGTCCAGGCCCATGCCTTTAATCCCAGCACTCAGAAGACAGAAGCATGCAGATCTCTGAGTTCCAGTTAATGCTGTTCAGGCAGTTCGGTTGAGTCAGTGAGTTCAGAGGCAGTATAGTGGAGTTGAGTTTGTGGCAGTTCAGTTCATGGAATTCAGAGGCAGTTTTTACCAAAAGAGTTTTACAGAGTGAGGTTGAAGAGAGAGCATGCTAGGCACAGGTGAAGACAAAACAAGCCAGAGAATGAGAAGGAGCCAGAAGATTGGAACAGTTAGTTCTAATTGCTACAGTTAGTTTGAGGCCAAGCAGAACAATTCAGTCAGAAGTGGGAGAATACAGTTTTGAAACAGTCAGCTTGGAGAGGAGTTTGAGCCAGAACAGCTGAGTTAAAACAGCCATGCAGAGTTCAGAAAGAGCTAGAAAGGATGAGCCTATTCACCAGTAAGACTCAGGCTGAAAACATGGTAGGCCTAGATTAGATTGTACGGAGGCTAGAAACTTCCAGCACTAGGTTGGCATACAGAGACTATAAGCATCTGAGAAGACAATTAAAGAGATGAAGAAAAGTTACTTTGCCAGGTAGTGTTGGTGGTGGCACACACCTTTAATGCCAGTGCTCAGAAGGCAGAGGCAGGTGGATCTCTGTAAGTCCAGCCTGGTCTACAAAGCGAGTCCCGCACAGCCAAGGCTACATAGAGAAACCCTGTCTCTAAAAGCAAAAACAAAAACTTACTTTTACACAGAACTTTGGACACACAATAGCCTGCACAAGATTGTCATTACTGGCAGGGGTGGGACTTGAACCCAGGCAGTTTGGCTAAGAAAGAAGTATGATTGCCATGGAAGCAAGACTCCTGGAAGAGGGTTCCCTGCCTGTAGACAGTCTGCACGGTGCCCCTCGTGGCAGGGATTGATAGTTACAGAAGTGTTTCTCCATCCTAGCCCTAACCCAGCACATCAGTTGCAGCTCTATCCCCTCTGCCCCTTACTCCTAGTGCAAGCGTCCCTTCCTGCAGAGCCCCTGGCGTGTACCAGAGGAGACTAAAGCAGGCCTTTGAGAAGCCTGCTACCTTAAGCTAGAGAGATGGCTTGTCGCTGAAGTGTTTGCCCTGATAACCTGATCTGGATGCCAGGCCCAGCAATGCTGAGCTGCAACCCCAGAACTGGGGAGATGGGTGCAGAGAGAAGCAGATCCCTGGAGCTCTCTGATCAGCCAGCCTGGCTAAATGATGAGCTCTAGGTTCAGCGAGAGAGAGAGAGCCCCCCCATCTCAAATAAATAAACAAAAACGTGGAGAGTGACCAAGCAGACAACCATAAACCTCATACATGTACACACCGGCAAACATATGCCATAAACACATATTAAATAAAGGAATAAAGAAGAGGGTTGCAAATCTAAGCAAAATTTAGCCTCTTTGCTCTTGCTCACTGGGAGAGGGGCGGGGCAGGATAGGATGTAGCCTAGGAAGGATGGCCCCTGCACTACAGCAAGAGCCGGCTGGGGCCCCTGGGGCAGATTGTGCACTGTAAATTGGGAATAGGAATCATACTAGGGGCAGCTGCCAACACTACATGGCATAGAAGCCTTCGAATCAGGCCTCCGTGCTAAAGGACTGCTTCTCCTTCCCAGACCCCTCTGACTTAGCGCCTGTAGCCACTAGAGGGTGTGTGCAGTGGTGCCCAGCTGTGCAGGCCTGTGGAACAACAGCTCTGACCTCCACCCTATGAGACTGCTAAGCTCGGGTTCCCTGGGATGAAGGGAAAAGAGAGGAGAAGAGGAAGGCAGGATCCCCGTTGCCCATTCACAGAAAGTCACCAGGAAGAACTGAGCTGTCCGCTCCATTCTTCCTCCATCTCCTGGAAGCGCTCCACCTGCAATGGCAAAGCACCACTCTCTCCCTGTGAAACACAGGCCTGCAAGGGCAGAGATGGGGAACCAGTCAGGCTAGCCACACACAGCAGCGTGATCAGAATAAGGCTGCTGGACACCCTCCTGTCTGAGACAGTACTTGCCTTCTCGCCTTCTTCTCCTGGCCCCAGGACACTCAGCATCTGCAGGGTGGCTGAGTTAAAATTCCCGCTTCCTCAGCCAAACCTCCTCGGCACCCTCTTCTCCAACCCTCTGGCACCCTCTTCTCCAACCCTCCTGGTGACGCAGGGAAGGTTTCCTTCTTTCTTGCTAGACTTTTTTTAATCAGAGGTTGGGCTATTTGTTTCTGCTCATACAGCCAGCAGGTGGCAGAGCTGAGACCAGGTGAGTAGTAAACATCTCCTTAACACCTGGTTCTACCAAAAAAAAAAAAAAAAAAAAAAAAAAAAAAAGGTGGTGTTTTGCCCTTGGGAAGTTTCCACACTACATGGTAAGGAATGAGGCATGAGACAGCAGAAATCACTAGAGCTAGAGCTTGCTTCTGGGTGCGGGAAGGAACACAATTCACAAATAAGTCATACAGGAAGCCTGGCCAGGTCTTTCCACGACCTAATGGATTGACAAGAGGACTCGTCATAACCCACAGCAGACAGATGCAAATGCCCAAGTCCTGCCTGCCAACTCTATGGAGAACCATTATACATTCAGTATTACAGGCC